CAGACTGATGCTTCATGCACTTTCTAGTATTAGTGGCCATCTCCATGGCAATTATGCAGCTGGTCACTGTCACGGCTACCAAGTCACCGCTGACAGTACTCCAGGCAGGATGGACAACACAGTTTCCATCTGCAAAACTATCCTCTCGCCAGGTAGTTTTAAAAACCATTATGTATGTGGTCCAGCTTGATTTCCAAGTGTTCAAACAGATGAGTTCTTTGAACCCACTGATCCAAGAACATGTTTTTTGGTGTATTCCTGTGACTTATATTAATCAGACCCAAAAAGCGGTGGGGGGTGGAGATCAGGTGGCTTCTTGACCATCTCAAGCAATTATCCTGTCTGGCATGAGTGAGGTGTCAGCTGAGCCATCAACAGGCTTATTACAGGAGCTGAGAGCGTCCAGCGACAGGCATGTCCGTCTCACTGCTCTGCCTCTACTTCTCCTCTGCTCTCATGTATGCACACACCCATTCTAATTACTAGCAGAAAGCAGTGCCTTCCGCACACTTCACAACATCTGTTCAGGCCTTAATTAATCCAACCCTTGAGGAGTCTCCATAGCAACAATGCTTAACAGGCTCAGGCTCCATATTAGAAAATCTTCGTCTAGGTGAGTGACTCAAACTACGGCCTTGGCAAAAAATATGCTGATATGGATTCTCGTGTCAGATACTCTGAGAACTTTGTGTGGAGATGCTTGCACTGATTGATCAAGTTTTAGGATGACAGTCGACATCATCGGAGTAAGAACAATCACCCTAAACCTAGGACTAGAATTGAACATAAAATTTTCAAGCTGCCCTGAAGAGAAAAGAAGAAATCCTATGACTACCTTCATGTTACAAGAAATCTCTGTGCTACAAAAGATTAATGACCACAGTCGGTTGCCTTGGTGGCACCTGTCAGTATTTTACCTGCATCAGAGCTTGCCAGCCATGGAGAGGTGGCCCAGTCTCCCAGGAGGTTGTGCAGCTGATGAGCAAAATGTCAAGAACATTTCTGAGAATCTGTCTTGTCCCTGTGGCCTACACACATGCTCGCCTAGATGCTGGCGCTGTTTGTGTTTCTATCTGGAGCTGTCATGTTAGAGTTTGTCAAAATAGGCACTGGGGATGACCTCAGAAAACCTGCTCCAGTCTGACCCCTGCTGGGAAGGAAGCGAGGCGTTTACCCTCAAATGACATTTCAGTCTATACCAGCCTCCATTGCTAAATGTTTAACGTGAACTGTTCACTACCCATTGGAGCTGTAGCTTCTTTCTCCTTCACTGCTTCCAGCGATGAATAAGCAAATTACCCAAAACTAGCAGAGGAGAAAGAAGAAGAAGAAGAAAAACTTGAACAAGTTCTTGGGTATGGGGAAAATGCATTTTAGCAGAGAAATCAGATTCCTTTTATAAAATAAAATAGGAGCATCCAAGTGGGCCTCTGGGTAAGTAAGGTAACCTCCAAACTCTCACCAGTGACCAGGACTTTGTGACATCTCGGGCAACTGGCTCCGAGGACAGGTATTCATCATATTGCTAACACAGAGCCAGGTTGAGCCAGGAGCCTGCAAGGTTAAAGGCCCTGGAGTAAAAGATTACTTGGGAAGGACAAAGTGGGAGGGGGGGTGGGAATCACTGTGAGAATGAGGGACCATTTTACAATGAACTAGAATCTACTGAAATAAATCAAAAGGAACAGAAAGTTCTACTCTCAACACGTATGTCTTTCATCCTTGGGCCAGTGTTCCTACTAAATTCTTGGAAAATATCTGGCTTTTTGCTTCTGTGAGTTTTATTGGTAGGAAAAAAAATTCGGATTCAATGACTGGCCTATGACAGTTTCTCAGCCATAAAGCTTCTACAGGAATACTGCGTGAGGGTCTTGCTCTTGCGTCAAGTGGCTCCACCCAAAACAAGGTTCAATCATCAACTGGAAGCCAGGGCTTTGAACTCACCAACCAGAGGCAAGGAAAAGGGACAGGTTAGGGTTCTAGGTCTCATTCTGTTAACTCCTTCATCTCAGGTTTCCAAACACTCTTGCTTATACCTGCATTCAGTATCAGGTGGCTCCCCCTCCCAGCCCGGCCTCCCAGCAGCCTTTGATCTCCCAGGACACAGGAAAACAGGCTGTAAAATGAGGTTGCCCATGCCTGCTTTCTCCTGTCTATGATCATCAGCATGTAGTAACTGTTTTTAGGATGTCCTTGACTCACGCCGTTGATTGCTGGGCAAAAGCCATTCACACGGTTCTCCCTCATAGTCCTGCAACGCTCCTTGTATCACAGATACTCAGAAGCAAGTTGCAACATACAACTCAGGGAAGTTTTGCTCACTCAGAAGTAATGGATGTGGAGCCTGATTTCATACAATGAGAATGGCGCCCCCTGGTGTTGTGCAGCTGGTGGCCCTGTCTCACATTAGTAAAGGGAGAAGCAGTCAGGAAAGAACAAGGACAAACTCTTCATGTCAATTACTAAGTTCATACTGGAATCTTCCTTTCATGTATTCCTTTTTATTTTTCCATTTATTCTTGTTTATTTTCGTGTTATTTGAACGAGAGAATACTTACATAAGTACTTTGAAAAGGCAGGCACAGATGGCTGCTCCCATCGGACACCTTCAACTAGAGGGAAGGAAGTTGTGTGGCTACCTCCAAATACGTGCTTAAAGCACTGCTGCGTCTTGATCAGCACACCCTGTGCTGGGACTGCCCTTCTTGCTGGAGATGTCTTTCCCCATCAAGTCTCAGGCACTTTCTGCTGTGGAATGACTCCTCCATCCCACATCCTATCGACTCCAATGGGCTCCTTCTGTCAGCTCACAGAGCTACCTGCACTTCTCCGTATCGTTTGTTGTTTCTGCCTGTCTGCATCAGGACCATCTGCTCACGTGCTCATCATCTCCAATTGCTTGCAGGCTTGTTCATCTTTTCTTTGTCCTCAGCAGCCTCCTTGACCTTTAGCAGACAGTCTTACAGATGCAGTACGCATATAAATCATTTACTCTTCGCAGGTGCAATCCTGACTAAACTTGTTTATTGAATATATAGATTGATACACATAGAGATGCAATGAGTTAACAGCTATCCTTATGGAACCTTTCTCATACCTTATGGCTGGCCAACAAGTTCTCTATACGTTATTTCTGGCTATGCAGAAATAATCTCACTTAAAGATTGGGACCAGGATAGGCAATTATTAGAAGTGTTCTTTCATGCTAATAGCCTGCCTGTATTGAGTGATTCCAATGCCTCAGGCTCTGCTCTAAATGCAATGTGTGTATTAATCATTTCATCCTTGCAATTATAATTGTAGAAGGCAATCACCTTGCTTTTACAGGTGAGGAAACAGAGAAATGAACTAACATGCCCAGGATGCACAACCAGTCAGTAGCAGATCTGGCTCCAAGGATCAAGTTCCCAACTGCCTTGCTCTGTTGCCTTCCCCAGGAAAGACAGAGGAGAAACATTAGTAATTGTAGGTTGGGTCTTCTGAGCTTAAAGGGGTCCTTGGTCACAGGAAGGAAGCCATATTTATTTTTCGATTATGATCTTTCACTCAGGTTTTTATGACATCACCCTCTTCCCCTTACATAACGCGCCCGAGTCTGCACACCCACTCCTCCGCTGTACTAAGTGTTTTTACCACTTTCTGAATGAACAAGCTTCCAACTGTGAGTGGGCCGGAAGGTGCCACACGATGCGGGCAATTCTGCAGTCCCGATCAAATGCAGAGTCACTCGGAATCTAGATGAGGTGATGCATAAACGTGTGCAGCCTCCAAGAGACAGAGGGAAAAGACGATCTTGGGGCATGACGTCATCTTCTCAAGGTTGCTGAGTTTGGGGCAGAGGGCCCCTCCCTACAGAGGTCCACCTCGGTCTGTTCCGGGTAACACAGCAAAGCCCCGTCCACTATGTTATTGGTAGAACAACACAAGTTATTTCTCACACAGCTGGTGGCTCGGAAGTCCAAATGAAGACCCTGGCAGCAGGTACATGCTTCTGGTGAGGACTTACATGGTGGTTCATTGACGGTGCTTACTGCTATGTCCTCCACATGGTGAGGGGGTGAGTGAGCTTTCCAAAGACACTGACCTCATCCCCGCAGGGTCCATCTTCAGCACCCAGTCACTTCCCCCAAACCCCACTGCCCAACAGCCACACATCAGTGATCAGGTTTTCAGCATAGAACTGTGGAGAGACACAACCATTTAGGTCACAGCAAAACCCAGGAGGACATAATGAGGGCAAAGTGAAAAGCACTTTTCCAAAAGCCCAGAAGTTCAGTTATACTCACTGGAAAAGTCGTCGTGTGACAGGAATACTGCCAGGAGCAGCTACAGAGATGAGAATACACAAAAGTGCTCTGGATTCCCCAGAGGAACTGCATGGAGAGGCTGGTCCTGCAGGGCTTGCGACGGAAGCAAGCCCAAGTATTCTGAGGAAGCCCATGGGATTCTGAACTCATCCCACATTTGCCATCATGAGAAACAGGAAGGCATTTTGAGTTATTGGAGCAAATACTTAGATTTCAAAAATACCTACATGTTTTTTATTCGAGGGCTACAGAATGTGAAATTGACTTTATTCGAGCAGAAAAGAAAGATATTTCCTGAGGACTTTTGGAGGAAGACATGCATCTTAGAGCTTAGGAGGTCCACTTGGAGGTGAAGCGATTGGTGAGAATCACATGACTTGCCTATGTGAAGATACACAACTTCTAACTTTGAGGGGAAATAAAACCCTTAGGGCCTGGGCGAGTTGTTCCAATTCCTAGCACAACTGTCTCTGGCAGGTTTTTGATTCTGGATGCATTTTATAGTTCTCTATTTTCAATTCTCATGTGTATGTGCAGTATGCATTATACCAGGGTCCTGCCCTTCACATGAAAATGGCAAGAGAAGACAATGACATCATTACATTTATTGACAATGACCGAGACACACACAAACATTTCTGCAGAATAAGGGGAAACCTCTCCCAGGGTCATTTTCCCATACATAAACCCAGGGGACTTTAAAGGCAGCAGGGTGGACTGGCTTTGCACAACATGGAAGAGCATGGCCAGGATCAGGCTGCCCTGAGCATAAAGGATATTTCTTGGATGAGGACAGGGGGAGCTCCTTCAGGGATTGGTGGCTGTCAGTGCTCCAGGAAGGCATGGGACCGGCATGGGACCAGGAGGGAGGGCTCCCATGCAGTTTCATTATTTACATCAGAATGGACTCGCTGGGGGGCTCCCGGCTCAAGGTGGTGCTGACAGCTGCTGCTGTGGCTGCTGAACTGTGGCTTGAAATGGTGCCGGTCCCCAGCAGGTCCTGCATCTGGAACGGTGGCCAAGAAGGGCGTTATTGGTTGAACAGTCTCTACCCTTGAGGTTCCCAAGAGAAATCAGTACATAACCGCGAGCTGAGAAAGAGCTGCTTCCACATCGTCCTGCCTGGGCGGGCCCTGGGGCCGCTCTGTGGCTGCCAGAATGGATCCCTTACAGACATCACCCTTCAAGGCACTTCAACACCCAGACAACACGGCTGCAAATGCAATACAGAATTCTACCATGGGGCCAAAACAATTTTTTTTTTTGCAATATTTCTGCTTCTTCAAATTAGTTTCTCTTCCAGAAATCTGAAATTAGATGTGATAAGTTAAAGATGATACAAAAAGAGCTGCTTTCAATAATTTAATGATCGGATTCATGCCAACAAAATGAACTGGCATGAAATAGTAAATATGTCTCTTAAAACAATTTGGACACAATCCCCCAGACATAGAGTATAGGAGAAAAAAAAAAGTTTCTCCCCAAAGTGCCAGTGTTTTGTGTGATTTGGAAAAACAATGACAACGCAATCAGAGGTAAACAATGTTTTCTTCCACTTCGTCTATGGTTTCCCCATCTTCTCTGGTCACTGTCTGTAGACCAAGCTTTGCTTCTGTTGAAAATGTCTGCGGCGGAGGGTGCAGTGGGCTGGGGTTGTCAGGGACTGGGGACGCGGCCTGGGAAGTGTCCAGATCTGCAAAAGACAGATGGTACAGGTTACAAGAGCCTCAGCTTGAGATCCACAAGGGACAGAGATGAGAAAAGGCAGTGCCTAGAGAACGGCCAGCCCCAGAGAGAAAACAACAAGGAGGAGTCCATTCAGGTGCACGGCATGCACAAGTGCCTCCTGAGCCAAGAATGCTCGCAGAAAAGCATCACATCATTCCAGACCCGCTGCTAAATCAGTGCTACCACTGAGACAGGGGTGTCCAGTGCCCACCCATTTTTGTTAAGGGAGGCAGAGGCCTTGGTGTACAGTGACTGGTCCAGTGAAATGGCGTAGCGCCTCCTCTCAGGGGCATCTCCATGCCTCAATGTATCTGTGGGCAAGGGGTAGCAACAGGGCAGTCTCACCAATGTGCAAATCTGTTCAGACCACACAAAGTCTTCAATAACGGTAGCCAGGTTCCAAGGGAAAATCAGGCCAATATCAACTATGACTGGGGTTGGCTTTTCTCTGGTTACCTAGCAACAGCAAAGCACTGTGTAATCTCCTTTTTTTTGGAGAAAGAAACACCCTCTACTATTATAGTTTAAAGGGGAGATGAAGGTTGTTTTTGATTTAAAGACATGTGCTGCAAAACCTATTCTCTGCATTTGTTTCACTGACTATCCTCCCCTAGGCTTGGCTCTATGTTAAATTTCCAAACACCCAGCCTGGAGAATAGGCAGGGAATACAGGTGGAGACGAGGATGGCCAGCCAGAGGCCCCTGCGTCCCCTGCAGGGTCTAAGCCTCTATTATCCAGGTGTTTATAGAGACCCGCTGGCATTCTGATGACAAAGTGCTTATAACCTTACCCACCTGAGCAAGTTCCTGGGCAACCAGAGAAAATGAGAATCGAGGGTTGCCAAGAATGGGGGACAAAGAAAGTAAGAAAGAACAACACAAAGACATTCTGAGCCTCTCAACATGGACATGACAATTATTACAGAATGAGAGACGTCCCTTACTGAACCAATGATCACAAATATCACAAATACCTGGGCAATGACTTCACTACTAGCATAGGACTATAGTTTGACCCAGAATGTTCTCCACCTAATTTTATCCCTAAAATATACCTGCGGTCATAAGACACATTCATACTTTGAATGTCAATGCCAATCACTGAATGAAGCCATTTCACCTCTCCATGCAGAAAGCCGCAGTGAACCGCTGATGCTTATAACTGCCCAACTTCAAAGGGAAACCTCCAAGTTTCCTCAAAGAGGATGCTGGCAGAGCGAACAGGTCGCCTAAGTACCTGAGGGGTCACTTCCTCACCAACAGGTGCTCCAGCCAGAGCACGAGAAATCCACATCTTCAGAAGAGGAAGCTGTCCACTGACCGAGGCAACTGGGAGGTGACAAACACGACTCCAGGGACAGAAGCAGCTCTCGGTCTGTGGAACTTTGCCTCTTCAGGCTGTGAAGCCTTCAGCAACGAGTCCAAAATACAGAAGACTCTAGGGAGTCCCTTTTAATGGCTCTGAGAGACTTGTTTTAAAAATCCAAAATGCGAAACAAAGAATTATTTTATACTAAATGGTGGGCTCTAGCTCTGGAAGACAGAGAAGCGAGAAGAGATGTAGGGAGCTAGGGAGGATGTTTGTATGCATAAGGTGAGAATATAGGCTCAAGCAGAACTTTTCCAAATCATGATGAAAACACAGGAGAAAGGCACTTCTAGGCAAAAGCTCATTGGACCCCGGGGTGAACAGCCCATGGTGTGAGTCCAGATGGAGTGCTGACACCGGCGAGGCCGGGAGTCACTTGCATGGGAACTCAATTTCCTTTGCATTGTCCCTGCGTGGTCTGTACCTGAACTGTGCAGGTGAGGGCAGGCCGTTAGTCTTTGAAATTAGAAACCGTTGGGTGATTTCTGATTTTATGACTTCATTTCAACCCTAACAGCTCTCGAGCGCAGCGACTGCAGGCTCCTCCAGGCCAGCCACCTTTGTCCACACTCTCTACTCTGGAGAAAATGCCCCTCTGAGCGCCCCACGCTGGAAAAGCACTTGTTAAAATTAAACCTCACTGCTTCAGAAAGCAGGATCCTTGGGGAGTAAAATTAATCACCAGTTTTGTTTTTGATTAAAGCAAGCCCATACATTGGCAGGCAAAAATAGAAAACACCTTATTTTTTAAAAGCAAAGAAAGATTACTAATAAGCTAAATAATAAAATAGGATTTCAAATGATAAAGAACTTTGCAACCAAGTATCTCAATATAATTTCTCATCTTGACAGAAAAGAAATAGTTTGATCTCCCCCATTTCTCTAGAAATTGAGCAAAGTCACCACTATTCACCGTCAAACAAATGAGCAGAAAATCGCCGGTCTTGGCTAAACCAGGCAGAAAGCAGCTTCTCCTTGTGAGGTGTTTTTCCTCCAACCTCACTGACCATCTTATTTATACACTAAAATGTCAGCCTTTGCCCAGAACTTCTTACTCTCTTCATGAAAACTGCTTTGGAGTCAGGGACAGCCTTCTAATGTAGTTTTAGCACCATTATCATGGGTCAATCAAAAATAAAACTCTAAAACTTGTAGGCATCATGGCTGGCACTGCTCTGATTGTACCATGAGAGTGCATACCTCGGGCAGAAGATGCCCATACCACATGTGTGGCTGGAGGGTAGAAACCCACAGCCCCTTCCTTCACTAGTCTCAGCTGCAGCTCTTGGTGGTAACCTGCTGGTGCACATTTGCACTTACATGTTCACACTTTTCCCTGCTGACCTGACTCTGGAATTCCTAACTAATGGGAGGAAGAAGCAGCCTTTGCTACAGCCACTGGACAGCTATTTTCAGAACCAGATGGTGAACTCAGGGTTGAAAACACAATTGTGCATCATATTTTCATTGAATAAAGTGCCATCGAAACCTTTTCAGCCACATGGCAAAGTGGGTGTCTGTTCCTGTCCCTCTGCTCCACTTCCTATCCAGCTCCCTGCTTGTGGCCTGGGAAAGCAGTAGAGGATGGCCCAAGGCCTGGGAACCCTGCACCTGCGTGGGAGACCCAGGCAGACTCCTGGCTCCTAGCATTGTTTCGGCCCAGTTCCGGTCGTTGTGGCCATGTGGACAAAATCTTCTCTGTGTCTCCTTCTCTCTGTAAATCTACCTTTCCACTAAAAATAAGTGCACCTTGAAAAAAATTAAATAAAGAATACATAGTACAGAGAAGGGTGAGTGAAGACAGCGACATTCTATCCACTAGTTTGCTCCCCAAATGGCCGCAACTGCCAGAGTTGGACCAGGCTGAAGTCAGGAGCCAGGAGCTTCTTCCAGGGGTTCCAAGTGGCTGTACGGGCCCAAGCATTTGGGCCATTCTTCACTGCTTCCCTCACACACATCAGCAGAGGGCTAGACCAGAAGTGGAACAGCCAGGACTTCACTTAAACTGGCACCCATATGGGATGCCAGCACCGCAAGCAGGGGCTTTATCCACTATACCAAGTGCTGGCCTTCTGAAATCATCTTGGCTAAGGCCTCTTCAGCGTGTTATATTGTATGTGAATTACCAGATTTGTGCAGAAATTCACCAAATATTGTTAGAGGCACCAAAAAAAAAATTAATGGATCTTTTTCAGGAATTTTTTCAGATCTCCACTCAGGAAATGAAATCAATTTTGTTACTTGGAGTTGCATTGAAAATCACATTCTTAAAATTATCCCAGACACTTGTCCTAGCCCTTGTTCAAGAGTTGTGCCAACAACGTGTATCTGAGGCAAGCCCATACACAGTCCTCGAAGGATAGCATACAGGAAGTTAACTAACGGGTAGGCCATGTCCCCACTAAGACTAAGATCAACTTGTCAAAAGGAGCAGATCTGTGATCAGTCGGAAAGGGCTGTCAGCAACTGTAAGGGGCCAGACTTGGGGCACAACAGGTTAAGCCACCACCAGTGATGCCAGCATCCCTTAGCAGAGTACCACTTTGAATCTTGGGTACTCTACTTCCGCTGAGGTGCCTAGGAAAATGGCCCAAGTGTTTTGGCCTCCTGTACCCCGGGGAGAGACCCAGATAGAGTTTCTGGCTCCTGGACTTGTCCTGACCCAGGCATAGCCAATTTGGTCATTTGGGAATGAGCCACCAGACAAAAGCTCTCTCATTCACTCTCTTTTCCTGTCGTTGTGCTTTCAAATTAAAAACTGTTTACTTCGTGTGGTCATTGCTTAGCATAAAAGCATTTTACATGACCATTCTTTTTAAACAAAAGTTCAGCTTAAAATTATCAGGGCAACTGTGTCATGAATATCAATTTTCTAAGTCTGAATTTCCCTCAATAGTGCACTCATGGCCAGGCACCCAAGAGCCCATTGCTGTGCAAAGCATGTTTAGTCTACTGTCAAGAGAGACCGTGGACAATACAACACCATCCAGCCCACAGTCTCATCCCCTTTCTTTGCTGCCAGCAAAAGACACACAACTGAATTTCTTGTCTTCATTTTCTGGGTTCTGAACTTGTTTATTTCAGCTTAACCTGTGTTTGTTGTTATAATATCCCTCGTGCATGTTCTTAAAATCAAAATTCACACTTTCTTAGAATAACTCTACCTAAAAAAAAAAAAGCAATTTTGTCATTAATGTTCCAAATCTGTACACTAAGCCGCACTCCCTCCTTAGTGACTGATTCTTGCTTCCACTCCAAAACATTTAAAAATTGTTTCCTGATGGCATTACTGGCAAAGGCTATTTTCTCTCAAGAGCCTTAATGTGCAACATTCTCTTTCTAATGGAAAGCATTTATTGTGCAAAGCTGGAGGTATCTTCACAGCAAAGAAAACGAGTCTCTCCCTAGGTTTGCTCAAGCCAATTTTTCACAGTGAGCCACCACAAGGATGCGAATCTCTGGCAGGAAAACCAACCCGGAGTTGATGCCTGAAGCAAGCAATCCAAGTGAGTGTCATGACGCCCTTTTCTATTCCTCACGTATCCACACTACCCGAAACAGACAGCCAGAATGTGCTTGTGGGAGAAGGTGAGGGA